TGCTGCTGCTACTGGTGCTGCTGCTGCTACTGCTGCTGCTGCTACTGGTGCTGCTGCTGCTACTGCTGCTGCTGCTACTGCTGCTGCTGCTACTGCTGCTGCTGCTACTGCTGCGCTGCTGCTACTGCTGCGCTGCTGCTACTGCTGCTGCTGCTACTGCTGCTGCTGCTACTGCTGCTGCTGCTGCTACTGCTACTGCTGCTGCGCTGCTGCTGCTGCTGCTGCTGCTGCTTACTGGCTGGGAGTTGGCTGCTGCAGCAGCAAGAAGCGCGGCATTGAGAAGTGCTGCAGCATTGAAGCAAAGACAAGAAACAAAATATCCAAAGATGGACCACCAGGCCCACAGGCCTCCGCGGCGGGGCCCCCGCGTGGGAAAGCTGTACCAGTAGGCCACCTGCTGCTGCTGCTGCTGCTGCTGCTGCTGCTGCTGCTGCTGCTGCTGCTGCTGCTGCTGCAGCAGGGAGGAGAGCTGCTCAGCGGCCAGCGACAGACGCAGGTGCAGCCGGTCGCTCGCAGCAGCCAGCTGGTGGACGAGGGACCTCAGCTGCTGCTGCTGCGGCTGCTGCTGCTGCTGCGGCTGCTGCTGCTGCTGCTGCTGCTGCTGCTGCTGCTTCAGCCGTCCTCCGAGTATAGCAGCAGCACGAGCAACTCCGCATCGCGCCGCCCGCAGTGCTGCCCATTGCCTTCGTAGGGGTGTTTCCGCAGGTGCACTAGTTGCTGCTGCTGCTGCTGCTGCTTCTGCTGCTGCTGCTTCTGTTGCTGCTGCTGCTGCTGCTGCTGCTGCCTTAGCTCGCGCCTGAGTAAACAGACTTGCCGTCGGTCTTAAAAAGGCGAGACGAGTCACAGCTTTATTTGCTGCTGCGCCGGTTTCTCGCTGCGGCTTTTCCTGCTGCTGCTGCTGCTGCTGCTGCTGCTGTTGCTGCTGCTGCTGCTGCAGCAGATGATCGAGCTTATCTGCTGCCCTCAGCGCCTGCCGCACTGCCTCGCTGAGGTCCTGCTCGTCGAGTGGGGCGTTTGCTGCTGCTGCTGCTGCTGCTGTTGCTGCTGCTGCTGCTGCTGCTACTGTTGCTGCCTGCGTTGCATTGGCAGCTTCCTGCAGCTCAGCAACTGCCTCAGCGTCCTTAGCAGCAGCAGCAGCTGCTGCTGCTGCTGCTTCAGCTGCTGCTGCTGCATCCGGTGCTGCTGCTGCTCTGAAGGAAGGCAAGGCGCTCCGCAGCACCACAAGGCCAACTCCCACCCAAGCCAAGTGACCCAGCAGCACCTGCAGCAGCAGCAGCAGCAGCAGCAGCAGCAGCAGCAGCAAAACAGCAGCAGCACTGAGCCACGAAGGAGCAGTTTGACGTGTCCTAGTTGCAGCAGCTGCTGCTGCTGCAGCTGGAGCAGCTGCTGCGGCAGCCGCTGCAGCGAGCAGCAGCAACAGGAAGTGCAGCAACGACACCACTGGTTGCTGCAGCAGCAGCAGCAGCAGCAGCAGCAGCAGCAGCAGCAGCAGCGCTTGCCTGCAAGGCTCTGTGAATGTCAGCCTGGGGTGTACAGACACCTGCTGCTGCAGCAACAGCCAGCAGCACTTCTACTGCAGCAGCAGCATGGCCAGACAGGGCGAAAGACAGCAGCAGCGCAGCAGCAACGAGGAAGCAGCGCAAGCTGCTCTCTCGAGGCGTCTGCAGCAGCAGCAGCAGCAGCAGCAGCAGCAGCAGCAGCGGCAGCAGCAGCAGAGAGCAGCAGGAACTCGCAATTGATGCGCAAAAGAAAACAAGAGCGCAGCAGCAAGATGAGGGAAGCTAGGGTTTAGGGTTTAGGGTTTGGTCTAGGGTTTGGGGTCTGGGGAAGGGTTTAGGGTTTAGGGTTTAGGGTCACCTTCCACGGCAGCCAGTGCTCCTGGGACACCTGGTCCCGCTGCTGCTGCTGCTGCTGCTGCTGCTGCTGCCGGCGCTGCTGCAGCAGCACAGCAGCACCCACGGCCAGGGCCGCCAGCCCTGCAACAGAGTCTGCATGCACTGCTTCCAGCTGCAGCAGCTGCTGCAGCAGCGGCGGCAGCAGCAGCACGTGGGGAGAAATCAGCAGCAAATGGGCAGTGTAGGCAGCAGCCACCAGCAGCAGCTGCAGCACGAAGCTGTTGCGCAGCGTGGGAGCAGCAGCAAGCCGCAGCAGCAGCCGGTTTGCTGCAGCAGCAGCAGCAAACAAACGAGCAGCAGCAGCAGCAGCTGCTGCTGCTGCTGCTGCTGCTGCTGACTGGATGCGCAGCCGCAGCCGTTTTAGAGCTGCGCCAACGCAGGCCTTGCTGCTGACGCCCCACAGCCTACTGCTGCTGCTGCTGCTGCTGCTGCCAGCTGCTGCTGCTGCTGCTGCTGCTGCTGCTAAGAGCCTGCTGCTGCTTCTCCAGTTCGCAGACACATGGGGATGCTCTGCCCATATTTTCCGTTTGCCGGCAGCAGGAGAAGAGGCAGCTGTTGCTGCTGCTGCTGCTGCTGCTGCTGCAGTTCTTGCTGCTGCTGCTGCTGCTGGCGGCTGCAGCAGCCGCAGCGCGGGAGAGGCGAGAAAGGCATGGGAGGCCGGGGGGAAACCTGCTGCTGCTGCTGCTGCTGCAGCAGCAGCAGCAGCAGCAAAGTTGTGGGGCCTCCAGACCCCTTTGAGTCTGGCTTTGGAAGCAGCTGTGCTGCGGGGTGTGCAGCCAGCTTGCTGCTGCAGGTGTACGTACACCGCATGAGGGAGGCTCAGCAGCAGCTGCGGCCTTTCAAATGCCCCGAAAGTGTGGGGCCCTGTGGGGCCCCTGCAGCAGCAGCAAGAGGCGGCAACGAGGGTTTAGGGTTTAGGGTTTAGGGTTTAGGGTTTAGGGTTTGGGGTTTAGGGCTGGGGTTTGGACTGGAGGGCCGTGAGGGCTGGCCTCGGGTGTACAGACACCAGAAGGTCAGCATACACCCGAGGGGCCGCCGAAAGAATTCGAAGAATAAAATTTGAAAAAATAAATTAAAAATAAATTAAAATTAAATTAAAATTAAATTAAAATAAATTAAAATAAATTTAATTATAATGGCAAAAGAATGCTCGCGAGCTGCAGACAAGGACAAACTCCAAGGAGACACCGAGAGCAGCAGGGCCCCTGCTGCTGCTGCTGCTGCTGCTTAATAAATTAAAAATAAATTAAAATTAAATTAAAATTAAATTAAAATAAATTAAAATAAATTTAATTATAATGGCAAAAGAATGCTCGCGAGCTGCAGACAAGGACAAACTCCAAGGAGACACCGAGAGCAGCAGGGCCCCTGCTGCTGCTGCTGCTGCTGCTGCTGCTGCTGCTGCTGCAGCTGCTGCTGCAGCTGCTTCTGTGTCTTTGGTGGAGCAGCAGCTGTTAGTGGAAAAGAATTAAAATAAATTAAAAAAGAAAATTATTAAAATGTGCTGCTGCTGTCTGCTGCAGCAGGCTTGCTTCTACTGCTAGCTGCGAGGCTGCTCTGTTCTGGCTGCTGCTGCTGCTCGCGCTGCTGCTGCTGCTGCTGCTGCTCGCGCTGCTGCTGCTGCAGCAGCAGCAGCAGCGCTGCAGCGGAATTGTGCAGCGGCACGGAGGCGAGAACAGCGGCAGTGGGTGGGGCGGTTTGGCAGCGGTGTCTGTAGCTAGGGTTTAGGGTTTAGGGTTTAGGGTTTGCGCATGCGGGGATGCGGTCGGTCGGTCGGGGCGGCGTTATTGGGGTTTTGCGGGGTCAAACTGAAGCTAAAAGTGGAAAATGAATTAATTTTTGAATTTAAAATTGCAATTTGAACTTTAAATTGCTGTCTTTGGCGCGGAAGGCCGCAGCAGCAGCAGCAGCAGCAGCAGCAGCAGCCCCGCAGCAGCGGGGCTGCTGCTGCGGCTTCTCCCCGGCTGTGGGGCTCGCGCGGCGCGGGCCGCGCCTCCGGCGCAAAAGAGCGAAAGAAAAGCAAGAAAAGAAAAAGAAAATAAAATAAAATAAAAATAAAATAAAATAAAATAAATAAAAAAGAAAATCTTTTCCTTTTTCCAAAAAATCTTTTCCGAAGTCCGCGCTCGCCAAAATGATGTTCGGTGAGTCCGCCCGGTGTATCGACACCTCCCCAACCCCTCCTTCCCCCGACCCAAACCCTAAATCCGCGTATAACCCAAACAAACCCTAAATCAGCGAATAATAACCCGCTGCTGCTGCTGCTGCTGCTGCTGCTGCTGCTGCTGCTGCTGCTGCAGCAGCAGCAGCACGGTGAGTCCTCCCGGGTGTATCTCCAGCTCCCCAAACCCTTCCTCCCTCCTTCCCGCTCCCAAACCCTAAACCCTCGCCCAACCCCCCAAACCCTAAATCAGCGAATAAACCCCTGCTGCTGCTGCTGCTGCAGCACGGAACCTGAAGCCCGGGGAGTCAGTGAAGATAGCAGCAGCAGCAGGAGGCGAAGTGCTGCACCTCTCCCAGGCCTGTTTGCTGCGGCCTGCGGACTCTGGGAGAAACTACTTAAAAGTCATTCAGGGAAAAGAAAGTTTTGCTGCTTGCGTGCTGCAAAAAGACAAACTCGAGTGCTGCAGTTTGGACCTTTTTTTGTCAGCAAAAGAGGGTTTGCTGCTGCAGCTGGAGGGGAAGTCGGAGCTCTCGCTGCTGGGGTACTTCGAGCCGGAAGCTGCTGCTGCGGAGGAAGCAGACTTTGCTGCTGCTGCTGCTGCTGCTGCTTTCGACAGCGAGGAGGAGAGTGAAGAGGCGTCGGAAGATGAGACTGAGGGCATGAGTGCGCCCGTCGTCAGGGTAGGGTTTAGGGTTTAGGGTTTGGGGGGTGGGGGGGTTAGGAGGGTTTGG